CCTTTATTTTGAATACATGACATATTTAGCCTAACCGAGGAATGGGGTGGGGGATGCAGAAATTTAACCTTTTTTGACAAGAATTTCACAATTTGATACAGGACGAATTTCTCAAAAAAATAATTAAAACAAAAAGCGATTAGATTTCTATGATTTTTTTTTTAAATGCTTATATATTTTCAATGTTGAACCAACTTAGTCCTTCTTAGATACCAGACACACCTCTACCAAAGATCGTTGATTTCAATTGCTCATTATACCTATGCATATAGTTTGCATCCTTTTTCTAAGAAGAGAAAAAATGTCTTTGAATGACCTGAATTTTAATACATGGCAATGACCTGAATTTTAATACATGGCAAGGAAAGTTCCAAGATACATCTGCCTATATCGTATCTTCACAAGTAGACTGTTGCCTTCTCTTAATATGAATGCAAGGGATAGGGCTAAAATAGGGTGCGCCTGCTGCCCAATCCTATTCACAATAACATCTGTGAATAAAATATTGTTTAAATTAATATGAATGCAAACAGTTGTCAGTGAGATGTGCAGGAATATAGAGAATTGCATAAATAAAGATGGTTTTAATTAAATCTTTCATATAATTATTTATTTTATTAACATAAAATAACACCTTTCCATTGTCCTTTTCAAGAAGGCCAGTAGTACGAGTGCGAATGGGGTACCCCCCCCCCCCCTCTTTACATACCGGTACACACTTTTGGGGAAAAGTCTTCAGTGCTACAGTTTAGATATTATAATTAACTATTGGGTGCTTGCAGTTGGTACCTGAACATTTTGTTGGAGTGTGTAAAACTATGACAAATTATTACATTTAAACAAAGTTTTACTGAGAAGTCCCTAGTTTGGTCAGTAGAGTAGGGTTGGTGGTGGTGTTGGGGGGTTGGGGGTTGGGGGTTAAAGCACAGGCCGATAAAATGCATAATAATAGTTATTCAAAAAGAGTTTTAACCATTTTGGAAAGGTGTAATAACGCCTTTTAAAAAGGCAAAATAACGTCTTTTAGAAAGGCGTAATAACGCCTTTTGTATAGGCGTAATAACGCTTTTTGGAAGTCGTAATAACGCCTTTTTAGAATGGAAAGGCGTAATAACGCCTTTTAGAAAGGCGTTATAATGCCTTTTTTCGCGTTATTACGTCTTTTCGAAAGGCGTTATAATTTATAACGCCTTTTAATTTTTTTTCGCTCTAGATTGATCCTTTTTGGCTTTCGTAGGGACCAAGCTGACGCACTTTGAAAAAAAAAATAAATTTTCTTTTCAAAGTGCGTTAATATCGACCATATTAACGCACTTTGGAAAAAAAATGTAAAGTTTGATCAATATTTTTACAAATAATCGGTTTGATAAATAACTGACCCTGGTTGGATAACTTTTTGTTGAAAAGATCACTTCAGGAACTGTGATATTTACGTTTTAAATATTTTTGGTTTTGATAGATACCGTTATCATAAATGGGAAATGGGTCACTTAAATAAGACAGAAAGAAATAGAGATGATTCTTTAATATCATTATTTCGTTTCTTTTTAAAAGAAAAAGTTCTAATCTGTTATAAGTAGAAGTAGGAGGGGGGGGGGGATTAAATGTGAACGACTTAAAGCATAGCCATTTATCTTCAGAAAAAGGGGTAATATGATTTTTCAAGACTATGAAAATTCTTTCTCAAACGTTTTACTGTTTTTAAAAATTTGTAGTTTTCATCTGCTTTAAGTTATTACAATTATTGATATTTTTCAACGTCATACTGGTAATGTAAATACATATCCATTTTTGGGTGGGTTGAGTTGTTACGGATGCCTGTGTATTGAAATAGAAAATTTTTTTCAAAGTGCGTTGCCACAAGGCTGTCATGGTTTCCTTAGGTATATTTCGGTGAGTTTGCATCAAATGTTTGAAAAAAAAGCAATACTTTCGGTTAGGCATTCATTTTCTGAAATAGTAAATCATACAATCAAGAGATACCTTATATCATAATGAAATTTTTTACTATGAACTCAGTATATGCTTATATGTACAATATATTGTACTAGTATTTTAGAAGAACTTGAATTTCATTCTTTATGTTGTAATCCAACTAAATATACTCATAGTGTTTCTCTTGTAGGAAGAAAATTCTTCCAACGTATATGTCAGTTTTGAATATTTTTTTTAATTTTCCAAAGAGTTGTAAATGTGGATGCTAAAAAAAATTCTAGGAACATTTGGACATTTTGAAATCACAAGATTTTACCAAAACCAATAGCTTAAAAAATTTTCAATGTTATATGCCACCATTCCCCATGATAAATTTAAGTCTAGGATTTTTCATATCATTGACAACTGCTTTTTCAATAAAATTTGAACTCGTTAATTTACTTACCTTGTTAATAGGTCATTTTCAAAATTTTTTTGAAAAAAATCATTCTTACTGTGCACACAAGTACTCTGAAGTCGACATGAAAAAATTGCTTGAATTTCTGATTAAAAATATTTATGTTGTTTTTCAACACCAAGTCTTCCAACAATCTATTGGAATTCCAATGGGTAACAATTGTGCCCCGTTATTAGCAGACTTGTTATATTCCTATAAAGCAGAATTTGTTTCAAAAACTTATGCATGAAAAGAAGAAAACACTTGTTGTGGCTTTCAACTCGGCATTAAGATATATTGACGACGTATTGTCAATTTACAGTTATGATCTCCTTTCTTTCGTTGATACGATATATCCTGGTGAGCTTGAGATAAAAGATACCACAGAGTCTGACAAATATGTTTCATATTTGGATATTTTACTTGAAAAAGACGTTAATTGTAATCTAACAAACAAGTTTATGATAAATGTGTTGACTTTAACTTTTCTATCGTCAGCCTCCCTTACTTATGCAGCAATACACCTTCATCACCTGCATACGGAGTTTATGTATTTCAGTTGATTCGATATGCAAGAGCATGCTCTATACGTATAAGCAATTTCTAAAACGAGGTAAATTATTGACAAACAATTTGATGAAACAAGAATATCAGCAGTCTCGTTTAAAGTCATCATATCGAATTCGTAAGTCCTATTGTCTTTACAATAACCTTGTCAGCAAATACAATTTATCATTGAGTCAAATGCTGACTGACGTTTTTCATGGTATTTGTTCGTCCATTATTTATACATTAAATTGACGACAGATTTTTTCGTTAATTCCCGATCATGACAAGGAGCACACAGTGGGCGTCACCGATCGACAGGGGATGTTCACTCCTCCGTGGCACCTGGTCCCATCTCTGATGTTTTAGAGGTCCGCTTTTGCTCTCCTCCTGTTTTCTATTGTTTTATGAGTTTCTGAGCTTGATAACTGTTCGTTACTAGTATCTCCATATATTTCATTGAAAAAATTCAACATCTTTAATTCTGTTTGTTATCTTCATATGTTTCATTAGAGGGATGTACCACCCTAATAGTCAGAATATGATATGAATTGGGTATCTGTCATTACAAAAATCAACTTTGCCGTCTGTCTTCTCAGTTGCATCGGCAGTCCCAGTTGCCGATAATAGGGTGTGGTCCCACCCAATCAATAGTTACATGTAATTATTGGCTAGGTTAAAGTTTACAACAGACAGACAAAGAGACAGACAGACAAAAAGACAGGACAAATAACAATATACCCCCGGGATCTTTTGATACGGGGGCATAAATATCAACCTCTTAACCTTGTCCATTACTTTTGAACAGTCGGCGCTAGGGCTTTCATACTTATCATATGTATTCATTGTGATACGGCCTTTTAATTGGTATACATATTTTTGACCTCGACCTTAGAGTTTCATCTATTTTGTAAGAAAATCTTTGACCTACGTCAAACTTTTAAAAAGTAAGTGCAAAGGCATTTACATTTCAAAGGTGTATTTCTTATGATAAGACCTTTCTCTCCATACCAACAATATTGACCTTTCGACCTTGACCATAGATTTAGACTAGGGATGGCAATCGAATACAGAATTGCTAACCGGTAAACCGCAAGACGTTTCGACTGATTAACCGGTTAACCGGATCAAAATAAGCGTTTTCTTGATGTACATAAATCTTTTTTCCTAAGTAGATTTATTCAGATATACAAGAAGACTGATATTTAAGTCTAAATGTTATATATTTGTATTTGTCTTGATCCTTGCTTTAAAAAAACACAAGCTTATACATTTTATTTTAGTTTCATCCATACGAATCATGTCTAAGAAATCATTTATATTGCAGATTTCGCATTTGTTCATTCTGCGTTGTCACTAAAATTAAAACTTAGTCTGAAATACATCACTTAATTTAAAAAGTTTGTTAAGTAATTTATTCGATAGATAACTGCAAAAAAAACCAAACATACTAATTCGCAGTTCACAACATTGATTTAATTATCATTAAAAGAATACGGGACAGTCAGGGTAGATGTAACTACATGTACATATACCTGGTGTTTTAACAATAATAAACACTTCAAACACAAAATGACCAATTACCCTACAATCTTATTCCGGAGAACCATAATTCGATCCAAGTCAGCTTGAATATGTGCAAACGATGAATTATCATCGCTTATGCAAAGATTTTTCTTAAATGAATGCCTTACAAAATTAGGTTCAAATTTGTACAAATCTTATTTTTTCCGACTAACCGATTACAAATTTTTTAACCGATTGCTATCGTTCCGACCGAGTTATCAGTCAACCGGTTACAAATCTTTCAAAAAAATAAATAAATATACAGTGTACATGAATTTCGATTTTTCCCTTATATTTATTTAGGAGAGGGGGTTACAGTATACCTGTCCTTTTTTCATTTCCTAGATCTTATGTTGTTAAGATTCGATTTATATTTATCCACTAGTGTTTCTCTGGATCTTCGTAATTTTAATGGTTACGAGGATGCTCGTTCCAGATACCTGATATTTTGTATTTAAATCTTAGAAAATAGATATTATCAAACAGGTAAAGGTAGATGTTTTATTTTTTTTATCAGGGCAGTAATTGGACCTATCATCGGAGGTGTTGTCTTTTTCATTATCTGTATAGCGGTCTGTCTCAGTAAGTATCTACGACGGTCATGCAAAAAATACGTAGACAATGTTTCTCCTCCTTATAATATTTTTACAAAATGAAAGATAAAAACATTTTCACATTTAAAACATTAATTTTGTCGATATGTGAAGTTTCATTCTTTTTGATTAAATGGCACTTGTGTTAGTCAAATTTAAAAGCAACATGTTTTGTCACCACGCATAACAACAATGTAACGTCAAAAAAGAATTTCGAGAAAGTTTATCAGAATTTATTTTATTTTGATTTTATACATGGTTTGATTTACAGCGTCTTCAATATTGATAAAAACGTATCAATAACACTTAACAGCTTGTTTGCTAACAACTGTTCGAGTAGTTTTAAGTTTAATTATCAATGTTTTTAAATTCTTTACCACGTATCTCTGCGTTCACAAGTTCCACAACCGTGACGTGCACGTCACGTTTAATGACGTCACTATCTCATGAGACAAGATTGTAAACTATTAATATTCTGTTTCCTCACAGACCATCAATCGTCCAATCCGAAATCTCTTCCACTCAAAAGATGTCTTTCATAGTAAAGAAAAATGCAAGACTCTTTTAAAAGAATATTTCCTGGTTCCGTCAGCATTTTCAGAGTTTTTTTTAGTGGTTTCACGAATGCAAAACAAAACTGTATATGTATTGCGACCTGCTGCTACGTGACGTCTTATGGCGTCCTCGTTTTCTGCTCTTTTTATATTTATCAAGTCTATCTGACTTTAGAAATTGAAATCTTTTAAACAAAGTGATGCATTACATTACCCCTTAGCATCTGATATTATAAAACTTTACTTATATATAGAGACTTGAATCATAATTCAATTTAAGCGCCAACTGATTATTAATTGTATGACTATAAACAATATAAAGCTTATATTGTAAATTTCTCCATTTTGACCCTGCTCCGTGGCCCAAATTTTGCTATATTAATAAATCGTTGATAATTTTTAGAAATATCAAAATATATATTCTACTTTTTCACTCAAATTATTTGAATCTTATGTTAAAAATGTGTAACGAATTTTGTTGCAATATGACGTTAAATGAAAAATTTACGACAAAAGTCTAGGAACTTTTCGAATGGCCCTCGTACAAATATTCATTCGTTTATTTACTTTGAAAATAGGATCGTCTGAAATTCCGGCCAGCAAGAAAATATATTTTTTAAAAAAGACAAACCTTTAAAACCAATGTTTTTAATAATCCCTAAAAAGTTTTTAAATAAATAAAATTTTTGACATTATCGCTTTATAGGCTTATAACAACGAGAACCTCATTCACAATGCTATTTATTAAAGTCAAATAAATTGCCGTGCGCCGATCACCAATATTTAGCACCATTTAAATGCTGTTTTTATATGCATATGACATCAAAGCCCTATAATATTTAGCCAAAATATCTAAAAGATGATTTCCCAATAACATTTGAAAAGTATTGAGTTTTGGTTGAATAGTATTTGTAATATACAGAAAGTTCGCGTTTTTCTCGGACAACCCTCGTATATTGTGAATCTAGTGATTCTTTTTTTTTTTTTTTTTTTTTTTTTTAAACAAAATTGCTCTGTTTAGGTTGAACATAAACTAAAATTGTTAATAATATTTACAATAATCATACTTTTTTAATTTTTCATTTTCTAAAATGACTTGAAAAACTATACTTGAAATTATCAGTCTGAAAAGCTTAATATCTATGAAATCCTTTTTAGCAATTCATTTTAAAGCATTATATGCAGGAAATGCAATAAAACAAATGAAAGTAATTAAAAGAAAAGTAAGGAAATATAAAAGATTATATTACCCTCTCCTCATGGAAAAATATTATCCTACTTGTACAGATTGCCGAAAGAGTCAGGATCCGTCACCAGCAGGTGTTTACGGACAGCAGCAACAACAAGGAGTTGTAATCGGACAACAAACGTATGGACAACCTCAGGCTTACGGACAACAAGTATATAGCCAGTCTTGGGCTTACGGACAACCTCAGAATTACGGTCAAGGTTACGGACAACCTCAGAATTACGGCCAAGGTTACGGACAACCTCAGAATTACGGCCAAGGTTACGGACAGCCTCAGATAAGTGAAAAGGGACATCATTCACCACAAGAGGCAACGGACAACAGAGTATTAGACACTAGACTGTAAAACAACATTTGTATTTATACAAATATTTCCCATTTACGAGAGGCGTTCAATAAATAATGTCATTGGAGCTCGGAAAGAAACATAAAAACGGTTTTCTATGATCTAGTCTGAGTGATTTTTAAAACTAAAATATTCTCTTTGAATTAAAACACAGGTCTGAAACATTTTTGTTTAATTTCTAATTGTTTTTAGAACACATTTTTGAGTATGACCAATGAAGTTCGTATACTGGAATATGGCAGATCCTATGATTTGCTGTACTTGCTTTTTTTTTCTTTCTGATAGGTGTTTATCAAGTTTGGGAAATGAAACAAGTCAAAAGTTGAAAGATCTTACAAATTTTTTTGGTGTGATAAAACAATAACTTTTTGTTTATCCCCAAAACTCCTTTACGCTTCATGGCCTGTAGGTTTCGACGCTGTCATGAAGAAATCTAATGTAGTGAATTCCTCATTCTGTTTCCTTCATTTCATAAACCTTTTATTGATTTGCAAAAAAAAAAAAAAATCTATAGCTCTTGCAATTTCTTGCTTTTTTAGCATTAGCAGTCTTGTTACATGTAACTGCATCTTATTGTAAATTTGTTTTGAGGGTTTAAAGCAAAATGGAGTTTCATTATCTGTTTGAATTTCAGACAAACGTGGTTAAGTACATTTTTTTTTAAAATAACTGTTCACATATTCCTACCCTCTGTTGTTTTCACTCATTTTACTTTTTTACTTTCAAATATTTCTTTACAACAGTGTTGTACCCCAAAACGATTTCTATCAATTTTGCTAAGTGTCTGAAAGTCAATAAAACATAAAACAATGAGACATAATCAGTGATAATTTGTTGAATTTTTGTAAATATACGCTTGTTGCCAAGGACGATACCCATTTTTGATGCCTATTACTTATATTTAACCTTTGTTTATTGAAATCCACCTGTTCACGTGTCTATGAAACAGACATTGGTTGCTGTAAATTTGCACATATTTCAGTTAAGACATTTTTAGGATATTTACAGGTTTTACAACTGATTTAATGAAGCCTTTAATTTCTCTCTACTTTACTGATTCTTGACCATTCATTTATAATGCAGTGTCTCGAGTAGCCCTTGTTTTTCAGCTTCCCACAATGAAAGTACGTGATGAAAAGTGGTCACATAAACTGTTATCAATTCATTAAAGATTCAATAATGAGGACAAAGCCAAGCTTTATGTCATATGATTTCTAAGTTGTATGTCATCGAGCTAATGACATTATTTATTGAAAGCCTCTCGCATATTGAAAATTTGCATCTTGAAAATCGTGGTACATATAAGTAAAGTTAGACACGAACACATCATTAATTAATGTATTCTTTGCTTCCAATCAAACGACCTTTAACGATCAACGTTGATTTAGAACAATTTTCATTTATAATTCATTATAATAGTATTTTATCACATTTTTTCACTCACGGTGCCAAAGCAACATAATGTACTCAATTGTGTGTAAGATCTCTGTATATGATGTCCAAAATGGGCATTTATTTATATGGTGCTTGTTTAGATTTATGTAATTACCCCACCTGAAATGTAATTTCAAGTGAACTTTTCTAATCACCCTGTGCCTGGCGTCTGTGCGTTTGTTTAGATGTCAGTCCGTCCATTTGTAAAGTTTTGACATCAAATTCTACTCCAGAACCATTGTGCCAAATCTAACTAAAGTTGGCACTAACTCTGATCCAGAAAGTATGAAACTGATGTGGAAACATCCTGTGATTCTGTTCAAATTAAATTGCTGAATTATGGCCCCAGGGGATTGGATGAGGACACAATAGGGAGTCAAAATTGAAACGTTTAAATATGTAGGGAAAATCTTTTTTAAAAATTCTTCTTCAGAACCATTAGGTTAGAAAAGATGAAACTTATTCGGAAGCATAATGGGCTGCTGTAGATTCAAAGTTTTGAAATCATGGCCCAAGGGGTAAGGTTGCGTCACAAGAGGGAAAACCTGGTGAAGAATGGCAGGTCCAAAGTTACCTAGGTGAGCGTTGTGGCCCACCGACCTCTTGTTTCCTTGACACCCTTCCTGAAAACATTTTTCTCTATATCATTTCATGCATGTATGATGTTGTATATCTTTCATCTGCATCTGAGGATTTTTTCGCAAAAAGGTGAAGTTTCAATGAATGACTGTAAAAATATCACTTATTTCTGGTAAAAACATTCATTTGTCATTTACTTCATTCTTTTTGCTCATCAATCGCATATAATATGCATGAAAATAAATTGTACAAATGTTCTATGTATAAATATAATATACTGCAAATTTTAAAGATATTTTTTAATAAAATGTCATTTATCCATCCGTTGTTGGGTTTATTTAATGTTTAAACTATTAATATTCTGAAACTTGTTCAATCCCTTTATGACGTGTAACTTGTTGCCTTAAATCATTGATCTATTTGGTTGAAGACATACAGGGCGTTGCCCTCGGGAAATATGATTTTTTTCATGGGCAAAGAAATCTTCATGTTTCCCTCACTATCATGCAATAAATATATACTGTACACCAGAGAATGCTTGATGACAGATTTACATGCATGAATTAAAAAATGTCTCATTTATTAAAATTTCATTAATAATTTCACCTGCAAATCTTACTAGTGTATTATGAAATATTTTATAAAGACTAACAATTACCAGATAAAGACTCTACTTATAACTTATTGACTGACCAAGGTCCAGGAAGGTATTGCATGTACGTGTAGAATATGTTTTTGTATGAAATTATTGGACACAGTTAGCAAAATGTAAAAAAAAATCATAAAATCTAGGAACACTTTAATTTGTAATAAGCGAATTCAACAAGGACACAATGAAATTGAGTAATATTTTGAATTTGTATGTTATGCACACGTATGTATATCTCCATTTTATCATTATATGAAATCAAATGTAAAGTAAATATTGTCTATGAGATATTGATCTCGACTTCATAAGCTGAGCTGAAAGTGGCTAAAATTAATAAAGACGAACGTCCACAGATACTTTAACGATAAAAGATTTTTAGTTATAACTTAGCAATTCAACTTGTAAATGGAAATCTTCTTTCCGTTTGAGATTAAAAAGTCTTCGCACGCTTGTTTGAAAGACATAAAAATGACTCTAGGATAATCCGAGATAAGACATCGACCGGTACTTCCATCGTACAGAATCTGGAAAAGTCCGCCATTTTCTAAATATGCATTTGGTGGTTGTCCACAAGATTGACAATTACTTTGTACATAAGAATTACATCTGTTATGGAGATCACCATTTATCGACACAGAATAGGAATCAGTATTTGAATTATAATATCCATAATTGCACATACCATAACTATACTGCTCATGACTACATGTACATTGCGTATAAAAGTTTTGGCAGCTCATATTTTTTTCCAATACACTGCATAAATGTTATTAAGTGGATCGAATGACAAACATCGAGGGCTCCTCTTATATAGGTTTTGATACCTAAATTTTTCTTCTCCAGTTAGTGAATAACAAACGACTTCTTCATTTGCATTTAGTATAGCAAACCGGTCTCCTGTTTTAGACAAGGCAAATATGGGACCAGTTACTGGACTTTGAAAGGAAAAGGTGCGAGCAGTTGATAAAACAGGTGATATTTTATAGATGGTCACCTGAACTTGGGATGCTGTTATTATTGTGCTTTCATCTTTGTCAACGCAAGAAACGCCAAAATCTTGTTTTAAATCAATTACTCCAATGCAACAGGTAGTGACACCATTTGTTTTCTTTCTTATTTTCATTTTTTGAATTTTGGTAAGGCAGGTGATGTACAGAGTATCATTGGTTGGTCCAATGCACAAAAATGGTTGTCCTGCAACTTCCAAAGGAGGACTGCAAGGAATCGTTGTCCCGTCGATAGGATCGCAAAATAGCAAAGTATTTGGCGATAAAACCATTACCAGTGTTTCTTCGTTCAGGAAAATCCCAAGGCGTGCAGGTGAAGACAATTCAAATTCCAATTTCCTCCTTGCTGTCAGTGACATGGAATTTGAAGAACTCTCGAAGACTTTTGAGGTATCTGCCTTTTGCACCGTCTTAAAGATGCCAAACAAAGATAAATGTATACCCAAGTTCCAAATAGTACCTGACGGTTTTGTAAGCAGCTTGACGTCATCTATTTTGTTGCGTTCAAAAATATGTTTCAGAATTGTGGTATGATCATGTTCATAATCATATTCTTCGTCTTCTGCGTTTTTAGTTTTATAACATTCAAACTGTTCTTCTACATCTCTTGTTGTTTTTGCTGCAGAAACAAATGCTTGTTACTGGAGCCTGTTTCTTCAATATCAGAGAGAAGAATCTTTCCATTTTTGATAGACAAAAGGTATTGCTTCAAATCGAAAACACATTTTTCAACCTTTCCTCAATATCTTCGTGCTTTTTCTGTAGACCTTTCTCAAACTGTCTCTGCAGTTGATCAAGTTCTGTTTTAATGTACTGTGTTAAATGCAAATTAATTCCTTTTCTTTGAATTCAAAGCTTTCTTCTGTTATCTTCGATATTTTAGAAAGAACATTTATAATCCTTTTGATAGCTAAATTTGACATCTTTTTGGAAACATCATCTAATGGTTCCACGTGTTCACAGTATCTATGTTGTGTTGCAAAGCAAACACTGCAACAGAGGGCCTCGTGATCTAAACAAAAAACTTCAAGATATTTACCTTGATGTAAAGGGTAAGGTTCGTCCAGTTCCAGATGTTTTGGTTTATAATCCTTGTTATCAAAACGCAATGTCGAGATTTTGTGTTTTTGCAGGCTACCAATAATTTGATGAAGATGTTTACAGGAAGGACATACACATGTAGCCTCTGCACAGTCATTACACCATGACGCCGCCTTACTTTTTTGTCGTCTCGCAAGCAAATGGCACAGAATTTATCATCAGATTTTTCAGCACTCGAAGTTGTCAATGAGTTGTCTAAAATGTTGGTTTGAAAATATTTAGCCCATTCGTCCACAACGATCCCTGGTTCCGGTCGATTTGTGACTCGATGACACACAGGGCAATCGAAGTCAAACTTTTCTGGATCTTTACCAATTGCAGTCCTAGATATTAAAATCTGCAGACATTTTTCACAAAGGGTATGAGAACAATGCAACCGTTTTGGCGTGATGATCATTTCCAAACAAATTGGACAACTGTAAATAGTGGGATTAATTTTAGGTGTGCCCTATGCCATTTTGACCTCAGAATCTACGACTCAAGTTATTTTCGGTTTAAAAAATAATTGCGGCACATTGGAGCAAAAAAATGACAGCATTTTTTAAATTTGTTAGCTTTCCGTCAACAACGTACAAAGGGGTTAATCCTTTCCATGTGCTTCATTTTCGAATTATCCAACTTTAACAATAATTTCTTTTAAATGTTGCCTACAAAATATAACTTTAAAAAGAAGGTTTTTAAAAAATGTTTCATTGTTAGCAAATTAATTGATCTGAAAACACAGACAAACAAATTTTTTTTTCAAACTATTTACAATACTATTCTTATTTCTATCTAAAGTTCAAAACTTTATCGAATGATTATTAGTAATTTAAATTAATTTTGTTTAATTACTTATTAGCATCTAGCAATAGACATCCAATGCCTTTGTCATCAAACTCGAGAAATCCAAAATCCCAAGACCAAACATTCTTGCAGCAAACTTTATCAAGAATGAAAGGAAACATTATTACACAATAAAATTATAATGCATGTTTCTTTACCTAGTACTATAAACTATTTAGTGATTTTCAACGAACGCAATTAATTTTGAAATGAAGGAATAGGGTTGTTAATAACAAATATTCTGAATGAACAACTATATAATGAAGAAAATAATGATTACGCTTCTCCCTTATCCCTTATGGTCGTAGTAAAAGATGGGTATCCGAAAAGGTAACAGGCGGACGGACAGACGTAAAGACGGAAGGACGGATATTCAAATCACTATGAATTCTCATACTTTTTAAGCAAGGGTGGTACAAAAAATTAAAAACCTTTGCAAATTTTCTATTGAAATTTATAATACTCTATATGCGTTTTAATTTTTTTATATTTTGAAAAGTATATACATCCCTAGAAGAGCCACATTGCCCACTTAATGACTCGTTGTGAGTAATCATTCGTGGGCCACCGGTCAAATTAAACAATAAGATATAAAAAAAGATATTTTATTGCCTATATTAACATTAGTATGTGAAAACATTTAAAGTAAAAATAAATGTGTTAAATATTCATAACTGATGGAACAGCCAATGTTCAAGAAAATTTATATTCATGCAAACGGCTTGCCCAGTCGTGTATAGGCTGATTAGCAGCACTGGTCTCTATAAGAAGGAAATACTTGTAATATTTAGTTGATGTAACTGTTAAAAATCATTCTATTCAAAATTCGTTGGTTTATTGATTCTACATTGTTATACAGCATTATGTTCGTTACAATTCTAACAAACTTTCCGCCGAAACATGGCTGAAAATTGCCGACTTGGCGTTAAACAATATACAATCAATCAATCTAACAAACTTGTCAAATGATCGATATCCTAAGAAAATAATGGCAAGGTAGTAAGTAATCAAATGTACTATACTTTGTCATATTTTTATCACAAGTTAATTTTTGTTGCCAATGAAATAAAAATTTCTATTTTTCTCTTGGAGTTGACTTATCATGTCTTTTATTGTACACAAAACACCTTCCAAAAAGTGGTACACTGTAACCCAAATGTTACAAAGCACTAAGCCTTCTTTAATTTGTCAGTATACAGAATATTTTCTCTTTAATTTTCAGAATATTTATATTTTTTTATCAGTTCCCGAATTGTTAATTTATGTCCATCATGTATAACAGTACAGCCAGACAATTCAGTTCAGAATTATTTCTAACCTGTCTAGGTATAAACATATACAACATGGACGACATATTTTACATGTACGAGGGTTGTCCCGTAAAATCGTGGACAAGTTGTCTAGTGTTCAGAAACTGAACATCACTGCATTCTGAAATTTTCACTATTATTTAGTACATATTTTAGTAATATACATAGCAAATTTCAGATAAATATATGCATAAATAAACAAATTATGAGATTTTATGCCATGTATTGTATCACCTTACGGCGCATGGATT